TGCGGCTGCCTCTGCAGGTTCTCAGAGGCCCCCCTCAGTGAGCATGAAGCCCGGGACCCTGAATGTGAGGAGGGGCTTACGGGTGCCTGTGTCTTCTGAGGCCACACAAAGGGCCACCCGGGGGCAGGGGGGCTGCAGACGTGCCTGGTCCCACAGCTGAGGCCAGAGCCACAACTCAGTGCCCTCAGAAACTCGGGGAAGGTCCCTCCGGCCTCTCCCAGCCTCGGGGGCTCCAGACCCCCCGGGCTTGGGGTGCATCGCTCCAGCCTCTGCCCCCGTCTGCATGCGGCTTCTCCCCTCTCTGTCTCCTCAACTGCCCGCCTCCCTCTTAGGAGGACACTGGTCACTGGATTTAAGGTCCCATCCACGGTGCCGGGGCTCAAAATGTGGACACATGGCAGGGCCACCTCCAGCCCTACAAGAAGCAAAGGCGGCCCCGCTGGTGTGACTCAGGGGTTGAGCGCCGACCTATGAACCAGGAGGTCAGGGCACATGCGGGCTCGATCCCCGGGCCGGGGGGGCGTGCAGGAGGCAGCCGACCAAATGACTCTCATCACTGATGTTTCTCTCCCCCCTCCTCTCTGAAATCAATAAAATATGTTTTAAAAAAAGGAAGAAGCAAAGGCTCCCAACGCAGTTCCCACGTGACCCAGGCAAGGCCCTGGGAGGCAGGTCACAGCCCAGGCGCGAGCACCCCACCTGGGGGCGCGCTTCTTACTAGAGCCCCCACTTACTGTTTGATAAAGCGGGGACCCCAGGTGCTGGGGCTCTGGTGAGGGAGGTGTGATGTGGCCATAAAGCCGGGTCCGGCCTGAGGTCCGGGCGTGGACGTGCAGGTCTCGGAAGGCTGAGGAGTGGCCCCGGGGAGAATGGCCGGCCCAGCTCCCCGGGCACCTGGCCCCTGCCCCTCCCTCTCCATCTGCTCCCCTCTGGGCCCTGGGTCGAGGTTGCTGGGAGACGGTTGCCAGGTCGCCACTGTTTCCCGGGCAGAGGGATCACACCAGCTGGTAGGGCAGGTGAGAGGGACGGGCGGCCAGCAGCTGGGGTCCTGGCTGGGTGTGAGGGCTGGGGCCTGCCTTCCCTTGCCCCCTGCCTGGCCACCACGGACCCTGTCGGCCCTCTGGGGATCCTGCCCAGGAGCAGAAAAAGGGAGGGGAAGGGTGCCCCTGCTCTGTGCAGAGCCCATGCCCCCAGGGCCACGGCATGTGGGGCCCCCACCCCAGGGCCGGGCCCAGAAGGGCATGCCTCCTGGGAGTGCTGGCTCCTTGGGGCAGGAGCCTTCGCCAAGGACCAGGTCTGCCTGCCAGAACCGATGCTCAAAAGGGCAGCCTCCAGACACCCGTGGGGACCCCGGTCCCCGTGGTCAGCCCACCCCCGCCCAGGAGGCGCCAGCCTGGCAGACAATGTGAGCGCCTCCCTCGCACCCCACACCCTCGCGGGGCAGGACACCGACGCCCCCTCATCCCTCGGCCGTTTCCTGCAGGTGCTCACGGGCCTTCCGCTCGCGTCGTCTCGGGGCTTCCCGCCGGTCTGCGTACCGGAGCAGGTACCGCGTCCACGTCACCGTCCCTGGTGGGGGTCGGTTTTCCCCGAGCCCCGCCCCCCGTTGTCCCAGTGTGATGTCGGGGGCCACACTGCGTGCCCCAGCCTCTCCGGCCGGCGTAAGGCTCGTGTCTGTTTAGATTCTGTCCTTCGGAGACTGAGCGTCAGGCCAGGGCTTTGGATCGCAGCCAATGCCGCAGCCGCTCCCACCCCAGGCCCGGCCAGCCCCCCAGACTCCGCACCCAACGCGGGCTCCCCCACGGCTCTCATTTATCTCTGTTCCTTTAATGACAAGGAGAACTCAGGGCCTTATTCTTTGTGAAAATGATAAACACACGGTTAGAAGAGACACACAGAGGCCACCTGCCTCCTGCCCGCCCACGGCCACGGCCACGGCCACGGCCAGCTCCCCCGGGGCTCCGGCGTCTCTGCCCCCCAGGCCTGCACCGCAGAGGTGGCCGTCGGCCGGGCGGACAGCCAGCCCCTTGCCACCTCAGGTTCCTCTCATAACCTCGATGTCCCCGGCCAGCTGGCTCGTGGGACCCTGGCCTGGTCTGCACTGGGCCCCCATCGTCCAGCCAGCTCCCCTTGAGCATTAACTGCAGCTGCCCCGCCCCCTTTACCCGTGGGGAGCTGAGACGCAGACCAGCTCCGGCTGCGGGGCCTTTGCCCAGAGCCTGTCTCAGGACCTCCTGAGGGGCCTGCGTGCAGCCGTCCCGTCCCCACCACCCTCTCGTGGGACGTGACCTCAGCTTCCCGCATTCAGCTCTGTGTCCTCCTTCCTGGCCGTGCCCTGGCCTGTGTGTCCGTGTCTAATTCCCACGACTCCGTCCGGGACAGCGCCCAGCCCTCCTGGGGGCTCCGTGCTGGGGGAGCGAGGCTGGACCATGGGCAGAGGGTCACTCAGGCCCCAGAGCTGTGCACACGTCTGCCCTGAGTGGGGATGGAGGCCTTGCCGGCGTTTCTCGGTGACCGTCCTCCTTGGGGGACACCTGGATGCAGGTGCCGCGCCCTGGGTCCCGCCTGCTCCGGGCTGTGCCCGCCTTCCCACCGCTTGTGCCTTCAATCCACAGCGTTCCCGCCTCCCAACAGCCCCAAATAGGGAGGGACCCGTTCCGGAACGGCTGACACTGCCCTGAGGCGTGCCCGAGTTGGTCACAGGCCCCTCCTGGGCAGCAGCTCCTGTTGCAGGGCCCCCCTCAGACCCGGGGCGTCTCCATCCCAGCTGGGGTGCCCCTCCCGACCAGAGGCCTGATGGCCACCCTCCTCCTTGCAGGCGGCATGCAAGCCAGAGAGACAATCTCTACAAGGAAGGCCTCACCAAGGGCAGACAGAATGCAGAGACCACGCTGGCCCTGAGGAGCACCAGGCCCCACAGTCACCATGGAAACAAGAGCCAGTCACACGGGGGATCCCAAGCCCAAGACCCCAGGAAGCGCGCTGTCCCCTACAGGGTGGGCCTGACCCTCGGCCAGCCACGGGGATCAAGGCCACGGGGACCAAGGCCACGGTCTAGGAAGGGGCTGGGGACAGCACCTTCTCAGCGGTGCCCCCACCTCACTGTCCCCACACCCGCAGCCCACAGCCACGCCTGCTTCAGCCACGGCCGAGGACGCCGGGCACTGCCCCCTTGGACCCGGGTCAGCACCAAGAGAGGCAAGCAGTCAAGGATCAAAGGGGTCTGGCGGAGCCGCCCCCGGGAGCCAGGTGAATGCAGCCCTGGGAGGGCCCCCCGGGGCCTGGCACCCCATTCCAGGGACGGGGTTCTAATCAGGGACCACACACAGCCATGCCCCGGGAGGGGCCAGCAGAGCCAGGGTCTGAACAGGCACGGGGAGGGGACACTCGCCCCCCACAGTCTGGCAGGCTCTCTGCCCCCCCAGCCCCCCGCCCCCAGCCCCTGCCCGGGGCAGGCAGCCCATCACCCCTGCCTGGCAGGAGTCACCCATGACATCATGATGGACATTGTGACCCCCGCCCTCCTGGGCATGTCCCTGTGCCACGTCTGCCCCAGTGCAGCCTCCACCCTCGCCCCTCACCTGCCCCCAGCTCTGCCCTGTTGGTGAGGACAGACCTGCCACCCCAAGGCTGACCTGAGGGTGGTGACCAGCCCTCTCTCCGAGAAGGCACGATGGGCCCAGGCCACTGGGCAGGCCTGTGCCTGGGAGGAGACGTGCCCGGATGGGCTGGGGGGGCTGCCCAGGAGCTGCCAGACAAGGGCCGGCCTGGACCTGGCCAGGTTCTGAGTGGGCACCCCCCCATGTGCAGGCTGGGCCCATGAGAGACCAATGGGGAGCAGCCGCGTGGATGGGGCCCTGAGTCCGCTGAGCCAGCCGGACCAGGATGCAGGTGGGCCCGGTCGGGGCCGGGAGGGCCCAGGGGAGCCTCTGCCGGCCAGAGCCTCTGACCGCCCACCTGTCCACAGACCCTCCGGAGGACACGGGCGCTGCCAAGCCCCGGGCCGCCCTCCTGGAGAGGCACCTGCTGGGCGGGGAGAAGCAGCCACCCAGCACGGGGAGTGGCCCCTTCTTCTACATGAACATTAAATTATGAAGAAGCCTGGGGTTAAAGACAACATGGAAAGACACGGCCCCCAGGGCCCAGTCCAGCCTGGGCTCTGCCTCTGGGGTCCCCTGGTCCCCTCCCGGGCAAGCCCATCCCCCAGGGCCTAAGGCCCCAGCGTCAGGTCTGCCCCGGGCCCCACAGAATCAGCTCCTACTGCAAGAGCAAGGGCTGGCAGCGCATCCAGGACAGCCAGCGCGAGGACTACAAGCTCAAGTGGTGCGAGGTCAAGTGTCGAGACAGCTACCTCCACTTCCGAGAAGGTAGGCGGGAGGGGCGGGGCTCGGGCCATATAGCCAGCAAGGACCCCCGGGCCAGGGCCTGGGAGCGTGGCTGCCCCCTCCAGCTGGGAGCCCTGGCGGCCTGGGCGGCTGGGGCCCTGCAGCCGTCCCCCACGTGCTGCCCAGGGCTTTGTCGTGCCAGGTGAGCAGCTGCTGTACCAGCTCCCCAACAACAAACTGCTCACCACCAAGATCGGGCTTCTCAACGCCCTCAGGGAGTACGCCAGGGTCATCAACAGGGTCAACAGGACATCGCCGTGCCCACAGGCCAGGTACGCCGCCCTGGCTCCCCACCATCACTGGGCACCCCCCACCGGCCCCCCCATGCACCCACCCATCCTGCCACCCATCCCACCAACCCACCCATCCTCAGCAGCACACCTGCCCACCTGACATGTCAGTCAATCTCTGGTCCTGGCCACCCTCCATTCTGCCCACCACCTAGAGCCATCCACCCACCCATCCTCCCACCACGCACTCACCCATCTGTCTGCACCCAAACACCTGCCACCTGTTGCAGCCCCCTAGCCCCCCAGAGTCCGTACACAGCACCCAGCACAGAGCCACCCACTGGTGCCCCTCGTGTAGTCATTCATCGCCCACCACACCTGTGCCATCCGTCCCCGAACCCGTTCCCACAGCCCCTCTACCCTCACTGTCCGCTGCCCCTTCACCCAGCACTGGCCCTGCCTGAGCCACTCAGCAGACTCAGCTACCTGGTGTCCACCTGGCCACACACTCATCCACTCACTGCCCAACAATTTGCATGTCTGCCCACCCACCCAGCCACTGTCCACCTTCCACCATGCAGGCAGCCCACCCACCTGGTCACCACGACACCATCTCTACATCCACACATCCAGTTGTCCACCTCCCACGTCAGTCAGCACCTCTCACCTGTCCCCCTCCAGGCAAGTCACCCACCGAGCCACCTGTCTGTCCATCCACCTACTTCCATCCCAGCCACCACCCAGCCACACCCCCCCACACCTACTCCAAAGCCTCCACCCATTGCCCGCCTCTCCAGACCCACACCCACCCGTCCATCCTCCACACACTCCTCAGTGGACACTCAGCCCAGGCCCTGTGTCCCCCTGGGGTGCAGATCTGGAAGGGACCCCACACCTGCTCTGGAGGAGCTCCCACGGACCAGCCCAGGACCCCTCGAGTCACAAAGGTAGACACACTCAGCCCAGTTGGGGGCCATTCTGCCCTGACTTGGAGGATGGCCTGGTGTGAGGTGACAGAGTTAAGGGCACCCCAGGCCAGCGGACGATGCTCAGGAATCCATGCTCGCTGCGTTCGGGCACTGTCCTTCCCTGGGGGCCCTGACAGCTCTGAACTGGCCACTCACAAGTGCCTGAGCCACGCAGGCAGCAGACGGCCTG